TTTTTTACCATAGTGTTACTATTAGTTCTTTTATTTTAAAAATTGTGTAGTGTCCTAGATGATCACTTTCTCAGTCAACCATTAATGTAGTTCATAACAATATCTTGTAGGACCATGAGCTTCATTTCATATATGGAAGCCACTTGTAAACTAAGGACATCAAAAAGATACTGTTGTCTTCATAAGGCATGTCTTTTTTTTAAATATAGTGCTTATGCAAGCCACTATTCCCCAGGGGATGCTATTATTGTGTTTGTTTACCACCGAAAAATTTACTGAAACCAGTTGTGACATGTTAATGCAAAGGAATGCCAATCAGTAAAAATTGCACGGCAGATATAAGTATGCTTAAGAATTTGTGCCTTGTTTGAAAAGAAATCCCCAGGAGGATATTTCTACCGCAAATATATATTTTTTAAAGATGTAATCTTTCAATTAGTTTTATTAGGGGACAATCCCTCTTTTCTTTCTTCCAAACCTTAAGGCTGCACCAAAACTATGGAGGGCCTAGAACTTGTTTTCATGTGAAGTCTCCCTAAGCGATCTGAGCCTCAGGTTTAGATAGGTTCTTGGCCAAATGACTGAACAGATTAGTTCTGAGACCCTGTAGAATCTGTACCTGTATTAGGGTGCCTCAAATGCATGCCATTGTTTATTTTGGATTTTCCAATCCGTGTTGTTTAAAATAGACCACTCAGAAGAGCCTTTCAGACTTGGCATTCTTTCTTGGATTTAGGGTTTATACTTACATTCCCTGATTGTTTAGAGCCAATGATGGCAAATAGGGGTGACCTACTGAGCAGCAGATCAGCTGGGTATTGTTCAGTATGTACAGCTGTATTCATGTCCTCCTTGATGGTGTCAGGAAATTACATTTTATTAAAAAATACTTAATTCAATATAGCATCAAATGGAAAGCATTGTAATAGGTGTTGGAGGGAGATATAAATATGTAAACACACTTCTTAATATTTGAGAGAATGATGAATGACAGAGCTATAGTAGCTATGGGAATATGGAGCTGGGAAGAGAGATTTTGATTTTTATTATGGTTTCTTACAAAAAGAAATATAATCTCTTCTGCTTTAAATTATAATAAATGAAGAGTTCTGGACTAATAGAATATGGTAATATTAAAACACTAAAAACAAAACCTGTCAATTCTGTTTTTTATAAAATGTTAGAAATATAAAAAAGATGAACTTTTTGTAATTATTTTTCCCTTGTTGTGTATTCAGAAAAAAGTGGAGCCATTTGCCAGTGTTCTTAGTTTTCCATACCCATT